ATCTTAAACTAACCTAAGTTATTTTGTATCGTAGAGCAAAAGTTGAAATAAGCTTCATTCCTTAATTGTTTCTTAAAAACTTACCACTTTATACCTTTCCAAGAGAAGTAGTAACATGAAAATGGGTTCTTTTTCGCTTCTTCCTCTGTCCTGTTTCTTCCTCTGTAATTCTCTCACCATCAATTTCCAAAAGAAAGGATCTCTTTGGAAAATCTTTGGTGGCAAACAAACCAGTTCCTTTACTATAAATTTGGTTTCTATATAATTATGTACAGTGATAATACATTGATTTTCATTAGTATCATGATGAAATTCATTAAAGAAATTTTAGTGAGTAGCTATATTTTGTGTTGGGACATTTTAAATTAAGTTCTTAAGAGGTGTGTTAGGGGGTGGGGTTGTTATCTTTTAATGAACTCAGTGATTAATCATCATAGTACCTCTATTGTCCAGCCCTTCCTCACAATAAAATGCTGCCTCCTCTGTTGGGCTCATTCTGCGTTTCTAAAGGATTATTTCACAATAAAGGATTGTGTTACATATATAAATATTTTTTTAATCCTTAGGAATTGAAAGTTAATAGATTTTAACAACAAGGGCTTTAATACACTGAAAATCACTTTTCATTCGCAAGAACTTATTTAAGCGTAATTATGTGATGATCGAGAAATTTCACTTTCGCGTATAATAGAATTCTGTTAGATTATATATAGAACAATGACCACAAATCGTGGACATTTTGTCCTTGTAATGAAGAGTCAATGACTATCACTTGAAAATACTGTGTCGTGAAAATTAAATGATCTACAGTAAGATCAATTTACTCTATTGTCACAATCATGATTATAGCCACTGCTGACTAAAAAACATTTTAATGGATGATACAAATTCTGTTTTTTAAGGTCTTCTGTTTCCAACGGAAGACCTTATTGTTTTCGTTCGGTTTCTTTTCCCTTATTATTATTATTTTTTTTTTCTTACCGATTTTTGTGCAAGCGAGTTCTAGGAAACGGCTTGGTCGAATACACGAAACTTTCAGATCTGATAGATATTGGTCTGAACCTTAACGTAAATTTTTTATAAGTTCGTCGTCACTTCCGGTCGTGAGATATGGACGATTTACTGATTTTAAAAGGGTCAGCTTGTCCGGGCAATCACTAACCAGAAGTCTCTGCCGAGACTGAAGCTCTACTGGTTTGTACTTAAAGCAAAGGAAGAGAAAAGTACTTAAACACTTTGAGATTGAAAGTTTTCATTTTTTAAACGCAAATACACCTTGAACTCAAGAGCGCTAATGCGCTCCTCCAGATCATCGAATCTGTGGTGATCAAACGACTTCCACGGAATAGTGTTCTAAAAAATAATAACACATGTGAGAGTTTGTTCTTTGCTGTTTTAAACGTATATTCTTATTGTTCTTCACAAATGCGTCAATAATATTATTTCGGGGGAAGTGAAAACTTGTATACTGAGTGTATAAAGATTGATAATATTTTATGTATCGTGTCACGGGACCTCTGTTTATACGGTCTCGCAGCATTGTTAAGGCTTGAATAAGGGGGCGGGGCCTAATTTATACGGGAAAAGTTTACTATGACGTCAGACAAAAATATGACATTTATGTAGTTCTCATTATACGTGTAAATGAAATAATCCGCAACGCTGAACAGTATTAGCATAATAAACAACATTATAACTTATCAATGCATTAAAAAAAGTTGCTAGTTAAATCCCATGTAGCTTGTTGTAGACAAAGCACTCGTCGCGATGAACTTGTAAACATGACGTCATACTGGTAAAAATGACGTTCTTCATGTGCTGTGAGAGGCAAATTGAAAAATTCTTTACCAACGAAAAATGTGTTTTATTATTAAACAGAATATTATTCACAGATTTTAAATAGTCGATTAATACCAAGATATAGCCTTTGTTTAGTGCGATTGTTGATTAACTACAAAGAGAATGTATTTTATTAATTAGGTCGTGTTTTATGTACAGGTTACGTATATTTTACATCGAGATGCCTCATAAAATCGTACTTTCGCAAGGGCATACACTGCATAGATCTGAACCGTTTTTTTAAATATAGGTAAAGGATATATTCCTTAACTTGAAAAGTGCTGCTGCTTTCTTTAAATCGAGGCCGTGATTTTATAAGTGCACAAAATATTTGGTAAAGTTCTAACATATTTCGACATTGGCCTATTTACGTAAACATTCAAGTATTAAAACGCGAATTCTATTCAAAGCAGCAGCACTTTTCAGAAACTACAAAGTATACAGAAACAATTAATAGCTTGAATTTTTAATTTCAATAAGGGTATGCCCTTGCGATATTGAAATTTGTTATTGACCTACATTCCGTGTACCTGCTATGCGTTTATCACGTGACTGTCCATCGATGGGAGAAAACTCGACACAGTACAGAGTATGTTATATCATGCTATTTCCATAAGTATTTAAGTTCTGTGATAATAGAATTGCTGAATAAAAATAAATTCAATTTTAAAAATATCCCGTTTTTTGCACTTTTATTTTCCGTTGATTTCTCATAGTAAGCCTTAACAGTGCTGCACTCATCTGAAGGACCGGTCTCCACGTGCCACATTGGGATTCGAACCGGCGTCGTAAGAATTGACTCCTTAGAGAGAGGCAAACTTTTAACAAGGAAGGGACTTATAAATTAATCGTTATTAAAACTCCCAATGCACCCTAAATCATTGTAATTAAACACTCGCGAGGATCTTCTCTTCAATTTTGTATCTAATGATTGGCTTCGATACTGACCAGTCTTCATGAAAATGTGTTGATGAGATTTAATATATAACAATATTGAGTTTAAAGTTTGACTAAATCTGATAAAAGTTTAAAAAACAATGTTAATCTCAGCAGGGTTTCTAATGTGTACTCACTCCCTACATGTAATGAGACATTTGTATATGGGTAGTCCACTTGATCCGCGTGCTTAATTAAATGGATCACGCAGTTCTTAACTAAGATTGAATATGTACATGGAGTGAATTTGCATAGAAGGACGAGTATTTCTGACAATTATGTCTAGGTGAAAAAAAAGATACTGGAATAAACTATAATAAATTTGCTACCGAAGTAGATATTGCACGAAAACATGTTTCGCCTTACCCATTTGTATATTACGTACTCAAAGCACTGATCAATAACGAACTTTCCGAAGTAAATGCTCAGGAAATATTGATGAATACAATTCATCAAGTTTTGTGAAAGACTATTAAAAAAGTTTAATCGGGGCACTTTTTTATGAGCATTAACACAAAATGAAACTTGCCTTTTATGATACGATTGAATTTTTGTATCGGTTGATATCCGAAAATACAAAGGAAAATGTGGATAAGTCAATAAAAATAATTCAATAAATAAAACAAATTTATTGAATTTCATTACTAGTCATCAAACTTCAAATCATATTATACAAAAGAAAGTATTTGAAATAATTGTTTTATTAAAACTACTCATATTCTTTGATTTTTTATTTTCAGAAATGACAGAAATATGTGACCTAAGAATTTAATGTTCTTAAGTTTCAGGTTTACGACAAAATAATTTTGACATCAGAATTCAAGCTTAACATTCATCTTTAATCGTTAATCAATATATATCAAATTAAATAATCAAAATTTAAAACAAAGCTACAAAAATGTTTCTACAAAATGCGACTACATTTTTCTTAAAAGAACAAATGTTGTAACAAAGAAAAAAATCGTAAATTAAAATAACAAACAAATTAAATAATTATAATTTAAAACAAAGCTAGAAATTCTTTTCTAAAAAATGCAACTACATTTTACTTAAAAAGAACAAATGTTGTAACCAAAAGAAAAAAAAAACTTACAAACATTAGTTAAACAAGACACTTATGTGTTTAAAATACACCTGATGTGAATGTGAGACTCGCTATATAAAGTTTCGGGTTTACGACAAAATAATTTTGATATCAGAATTCAAGCTTAACATTCATCATAAATCAAAATAACAAACAAATTAAATAATCAAAATTGAAAACAAAGCTATAAAAAAACTATTATCATTTTACCAATTTTTTTTTTTTTTTTTTTACAAAATGCGACATTTTACTAAAAAAAAAAAGGACAAATGTTGTACCAGAGAAAAAAAATCTAACAAACAAATTAAATAATCAAAATTTGAAAAAAAAAGCTAGAAAAAGTTTCTACAAAATGTGCCTACCTTTTTCTTAAAGGAACAAATGTTCTAACAAAGAAAAAAAATCGTAAATTAAAATAACAAACAAACAAGCAAATTCAAAGAGTTGTGGTCCCCCGCTTTCGGTGTCTTTGTGGGTGAGATGTTATCTTTGATGACATATTGTGTGTAATATGAACATCCTATCATATGTTATTTACTAGTATTTAGAAAGTAACACTGGAGTTGATTTTATTTAAGGATGAAAACCCTTATCCTGACCGTTAAAAAGTAACGGCCAACTAAGAAGTTTTTTAAAAGTAGGTCAACTCCAAGGTCAAGATCCAAGGGTCAAAATTGTTGATATCCAAATGAATATAATTTTTTTCACAAGGATTACATATGTGAAGTATGAAAGCCCTAGCCCTCACCCTTCAAAAGTAATGGTCAAGGTTAAAGTTTTTTCATAAGTACGTAAATCTCAAAGGTCAAGGTCAAGGTTGTTTGAATCCAATGAAATGTCTTGCAACAAGGAATACATATGTGAAATATAAAAGTTCTAGCATCTACTGTTTAAAAGTTGTGACCAAGGTTAAAGTTTTTTGAAGTAATAGTTAGATCATGTTAAGTAAAATTTTAGTGGTTAAGAAGGGGCGGAGGGAGCGAAGCGACCGAGCCCCCTTCTTAACCACTAAAATTTTACTTAATAATGATCTAACTTACTTAGAACCTATCACGCTTTTTCATTGGCTAATTAGTCAGCCCGCGGAGATACTGCGCCAAAATACGGGTCAGAGGTCAGTTGGAAAACAATTAGACCTAAAATGGAAGGTTCTGATGACGAGAGCGACATTTTTAAAGATGTAGACTTTTTACTCTGTTATTTTTTACCGGATGATGATGCAAATGGTGTTTTATCGCAAAGCCTTTTGAACATTCCCACTCAGCAGCTTTTCAAGGTAGAAAATGAGACCGATCATGCAAGATTTGCATCACCAGTGTCGGGAGCGGATCTCAAAATTAAGCAAGCTGCCGGGATTCCGAAAAAGACTCGTCAAGCAAATAATTGGGCAGTCCGTTTATGGACAGATTGGGCTAGATTCAGAAATACAAGACCCGAGACACATATGGAAGGTGGTGTTATTTCTGAGAATATATGCTGTCTTTCAAATGAAGCTTTGAACTTTTGGATGCAACGATTCATAATAGAAATTCGCAGAAAGGATGGAACGGCTTACCCCCCTAATACGTTAACTCAGATTGTAGCTGCATTACAGCGGTATTTAAGGAGTAATTGTTATGACAGACAATTTAATTTTTTTAAAGACGACGATCTTGTTTTTCGGGATTTTAGAAAAACTCTGGATTCACATATGAAAAGCCTGACTAGTCAAGGTATCGGTGTAAATAAGAAGAGGTGTGATCCCGTCACAGAAAAAGATGAAATGAGGATGTGGGAGACAGGAGTATTTTCCTTAGAAACCGCGTCAAGATTGAGTAATGCAATTTTTTTCTATAACGGTAAATGTTTCGCATTCCGTGGAATGAGTGATCATAAACAATGTGACGCAGACCAGTTTGAAATCGGATTCGATCATGAAAATTCTCGTAAGTACGTTAAATATACTCCAAGGGTAACAAAAAATGTGCAGGGTGGCTTAAAGCATCGGAGAATTGAATCTGTGGTTCTTTCTATGCCAAAATGACCTGAAGTTCTTTGTTTGTGTAATTGATCAAAGATTTTGCCTTGTAAAATTTGGGGCACCACTAGCTGTTTTTGTTCACCACTAAATCTGACTGGACGTTTCGGTTTTCTGTAGAGCAACCCTTCGTCAATAACAAGAGAATCCCACTGACACAAAAGAACTCTAGAATCTGGATGAAAACCTTGAATTTGGGTCTTTGATGGTTTTTCTGATGAATTTTTCAATAACTCTATAATAGGCTGAATGACAACGTCACCCTCTTGAAAAATCTGAAGTTCTTCCCTAGACCAAGAGTCAAGCCAATTAGGAACAATTGGACTACAATGGTTGGAACATTATTGTTGACAACTTACACGAACGATCACGTTATACGAACGATTCCGCAAGATTAACGCCGCAACTTTGTTAAGGACGCCCATGAATTAATATATGAAATAAAAGCATTAAAAACCATTCAAATTTTGACATATGATACAGACCCATCCCATAATAACAATCAAAAAACATTAGCACCGTTATGTTACTATAGACCTCTCATACATTTCTGACTTGAATGTAGTCGCGTCATCAGCTGAGTGTCACGTGATAGGATAAAAATAGATAACCTTAACATGACTGTATTAATCGCAAAAGTTCAAGGATATACTGACCATATTGTAAATTGATGTTCATATATTATCAAAGATAATAAGTTTCTTAATCTGAAAAGTGCTGGGAGCAAATATAACACGTCCCGTAACATACAGAATTGATGCATTGAATAGTCAAGATTTAGTGATTTCACGCACACCAACCTACATCTGGGTCAAGAAACGGTACTTATTTTCAAGACACAACTTGCTCCCAGCACTTTTCAAGCACAATAATGTTCAGATTAAATATTAAAGGAAGCCTCAACCCTAAAAAATGACAGGATATCTTTGGACTTTTACGTTTTCGACAGCAGTGTTTATTTTTCATGTAGCCGAACTCAATTAAAACGCACTGAAGATCAGGATCAAGGGCAGATAATCCCTGTGTCAATTTTGAGAGGCACGGTAAATTTGAAAACGTTAAATATGCGTTCATGGCGTACTTCTTTTGATATTTGTACTTGTTTATCAAAAAAATCTTTTTTAGATTTTAGAAAGTGTTTTTATTTTTTGTTCAATTTGGTTGTTTTCAACATCATGAGGGGTTAATAATACTACTTCAAACATGCATCATAGGCCCAAGGAAAACGAATTCGTTTTACAAACCATACAGCACAACCAAGACTGTGTCCCATATTTTCTGTGCATAGTAGTAATTATAATGAATTATATATTTTATTTTCAATATTTGCAACATTTATAGAGGGGTTCTATGCCTCTTTCAGTGTAAAGGCCCTGACACTGCATAAACCTAGCGAATCCAGCAGGCTGATGAGCAACAATAAGGCATTTGAACAAATACTCAGTAATTAATTGTAAAAAAATATATATATATAATTCAGACAAAGAAATACACACACAAAAATAATATTTCAGCATACACTGTATTTTATTTTTAAGTCAGTGATGAAAAATTCTACACATATTGTGTCCTGAAAAAAATCTCAAAGCAAAAGCATTTGAACATTATGGAATGTAAAATAAACATTAAACAATATTAAAGTTGCTTCCAATTAAGTAAAATATTCAACATTAAAACTTTCAATCAATTTTAAAGTCCAAAACAAGTTATAAATTCATTTGATAAAAATTATGAAAAAATAAAACAGCTACCAAATTAAAAAAAAGATAATAATCATGAACTAAGTAATAAAAAAATATTCTTTTTTAGTTTTAAATTTTTTTAAAATTTCATTTTAATTTTTTTTTTTAATAAAATTTTAATTTAGAGATTATTTTATAATATGGCTGACAACAACATTGACCTTGAATAACAACAAGCATTATTCATAAAAAAAAGTCTGTGAGTACAACATATTGATTCAGTAGCATGCAGCCATTTAATATTTAGGAATCAAACTTAATCAATTCAACTAATAGTAACCAACAGGAATTTTAATTCACTCAGGAAATATTCAGTATACTACAAAAAGAAGCTAAACAAAACAACAAAAAAAATGTTTTACTTCAAACAAAGAACAAAGGTCAATGTGTAATTAGTTACCAACCAACCAAAATTTTTTACAAGAGGCCCATGAGCCACATCGCTCACCTGAGAATCTTTTGTCATATTGTTCTTTACCAGATTTCCCCCTTGTAATATATATTGTGGCATCGCCCAACCCCTGGGGGTCATGATTTGAATAATTTAGAATCTACACTATTTCAGGGTGTTTCCTCATCAGTTTCAGCTTTTATGGCCCAGTGGTTCTTGAGAAGAAGATTTTCAAAGATTTTTCCTATATATTTCTATGTAAAAATTTGATTCCCCATTGTGGCCCCGCCCTACCCCTGGGGGTCATGATTTGAACAATTTAGAATCTACACTACCCCAGGGTGCTTCCACATAAGTTTCAGCTTTTCTGGCCCAGTGGTTCTTGAGAAGAAGATTTTTTAATGACCCCACCTTATTTTTGTCTTTTCTTGATTATCTCCCCTTGTTGTATGGAAATTGGCCCTCCATTTTAACAATTTAAATTCCCCTTCACCCAAGGATGCTTTGTACCAAGTTTGGTCAAAATTGGCCCAGTGGTTCTTGAGAAGAAGTCAAAAATGTGAAAAGTTTACAGACGGACGGACAGAAAGACAGACGGACGGATGACGGACAAAATGTGATCAGAAAAGCTCACTTGAGCCTTCGGCTCAGGTGAGCTAAAAACCAATTCATTAAGAATCAGGACTATATATATGAACAAAAGAAAAACAAAATGTTTTAACACAACGAAAAGCATGCATTATTCCCAATTAATGGACAATAATGGTGTAAAATAGCCAAATGTTTAAATTTGGTCAGGAATAAGACGTCAATGTTTAAGTAACATTACATCATCATGAATTTTTGCAATTTTGCCAAAGTCATCATTGGGCGTAGCAGTAAAGATCCTGAAAGTATCAATGGGTGGTCTTCAAAAGATGATACACTGCTTGATTCTGTTACCAATCAGAAATCATCAAATGTATCTGCATCATTTAGATTTCATTTCTACAATAATGTAATGAAAAAATACCCAAAGATGCATTTGCCCTATGACAAATTTGTATGTCAATTACCAAGAGTTCAAAATTATATTACACAAAATAAGTACTGGAAAAACAACAATAAATGTAGTGAAAAAAAAGAAGATTTCATATCAAAATTTTCACTTCAACAATGGGATGCCCCTCCTCACAAAGACAAACAGCGGCATACTGTATACGACTGTGTGCCTTGTGAAACCTCACTGATCAATTACTCTGTATTACACAATTTTACTACAGAAAACACAGAACAGTTGGTTAAAAAAAACAAATGAACTTGTTAGTGAAATGACTCATAACAACAGTAATGGAGCAGAACAACTCCTTAATGTGTTAGAACCTATCATGAAAAAAAATTTCAACACAGATTTGAAATCTTCAGTAACAAAAAAATTTAACCTGATCGAGAAAAACACAAGTGAACAAAAACGAAAACAATCAAAAAATCAAAATCACAAGAGAGAGCACAAAATCTATGAGTCAGCTTATAGGAAACAACGAAAATGAAATTCAAAATTTTCTTGCTTCTGGAAAATCCTATAGCCAATCTGTCCGAGACAGGTTATCTATCTTCTTTGAGGCACCAAATGTAGCAAGAAAGAGAATAACAGAAAATTCAAAAAAAATGTTACAAGGGACGAAGAAGGCCAAGAAGCATATTGGCAACATAGATAATTACCAGTTCAAAAGAGAAGAATTTCTGAAATTTATGAGAAATTTAGCGCCAGGGTCTCGAGTCATCTGGAGATATCTTGCCCTTAAGTTTCAGGTGAAAAACAAACGAGGGATAATTCCAAATAATGCAGGTCAGGTTCTACAGATGTTTGCAAAATTAAATGGTGTAAACTGTGACCAACTTAACACGAATCAAGGGATCAGTGGTAGGGACTTTCTCCAGAGAGTTCGCAGAGCAAGGCAAAAAGTTTTTCGGAAAGTTTCAGTACCCACCCCCAGACCTGCTAGAGCACTGAGAGAAATTATCAGTAAACTTGGAAGAAAGGAGCTGTACATTGGAGAGAGAATTGTTCCTAAAATCTACAAAACAAAAAAATAGATGAAAATGGTAGACTTATTGACAAAGAGATGACAGTGTATGGTAGGATGATTCCTTTAAAAAATATAATGAATGCTATGAGGGACAATCATCAAGACTATCAGAGAAATACTGAAGTAGCCGCATTAACATCAAATCAGCTGCAGACAATTTTTGAGAAACTTGGAGAAAAAAAAACAGACTCGGACACAGAAGCAAAAGAAAAGCTGCAAAAGATGGAGAATACAAGACACCTAAAAATTTGGCACGACCACTCTGAAATATTAATCATAGCTACTTCACCGTAATGACCAGTACCATCTATGATAATGCCAATTTCCTTACAAATGAAGAGTACATGAAAAGGTTTCCTGAGCGCCCCCTATAGACATACAAGGAAAGGTGGAGAGACCATACCTTTACATCCTAGGACAATCCTCAAGTTTAGATATTGACCAGCTATCGTACATGCAGGATAGGGTTGGAGACCTCAAAAATATAAGAATGCAGGATGAGGAAGTTAAGTTTGTTCCAAGAGTTTTTAGTGGGGATAGCCCCGCTAGACAGTTTGAGGCCGGCCATCAAAGGGGTGGGAACTACAGCTGCCTGTTTGGAGCAAGATCAAAGGAGCATCAAAATTTAGATTATGTTTACAACATCGGGAACCCTTCCTTAGATGACCGAATGCAAATTTTCAAAGATGGAGAACTATGGAAAAGATTTTCAGTAACAAACCCATCCCCATTGTCCAATCTAAAAAAGACAGACCTTGAAGCAGAATTAAGAGCCAGAGGCCATGATATCCTTAACAAAAACAA